CCCCAAATCAAATGTCCACCTCTTATTACAATTCTGCAAAAGTATATTAAATACAGGTTTATAAAACAGCCTTAGAGAAAATGCATATCTGACATTAGTTGTGTGACTGTAATTAACACATATAATTACAGCCATGGGTAAACCTGAACAGTTCCACAAAGTAAGTTTAACTCTTTCTGTCCCTAACATGGTTCCAAGAATAAGTGCTGAAGCTGCTGCTTATATGTCAATGGGCACCAGTTAACACAAGTAATGTCACATGCCTCACCGAAGATTCTTAAGTAAGTTTAGCAGTCATAGAACAAGAAGAGATGTTATACTGTGGATCAGCAATTGGTTAAGCAGCGGGAAGTAGGAATAAATGAATAGTTCTCCCAATGGAGGGATGTAGAAAGATGAGTCCTCTGAGGATCAGTATTGGGAACTGTGCTTTGTTCATAAACTATCTAGAGTTAGGGGTGAGCAATGAGGTAGCCAAGTTTGCTGACAATACTGTCCAGGCTGAGTTAACGGGCAGCAAAATAGCAAATGAAATTCAATGGAAACAAGTGTGAATTGATACCTGCAGAAAGAAAACAATAATAATAATCCTAATTTCACATATAAAATCATGGGGTCTGAACTCGAGGTGACTAACCAGGAATGAGGCGTTGGGGTCATAGTAGAGAGCTTAATAAGTTGTGGACCTAGTGTGTGGCAACCTTGGGGAAGGCACATTCTATGCTAGGGATCATTATGAAATGAATTAAAAAATAAAACTAATGATACCATAGTTCCAGTATACAAATAGATAGTGCAACTATATTTGGAACATTGTATACAGTTCTGATAACGTCACCTGAAAATGGATATTGTAGAGTTGGGAAATGTTCCAGAAAAGGGCAACCAAAATGACAAGGGGAAGGAGATGCTCCTCTAAGAAGCAAGTTTACAGTATTTGAGGCTTTTAATTTTACAGAAAATGGGATTAAGAGGAGACACGAGCAAGGTGTATAAAATGACTCATGGTAAGGAGAAATTATTTTATTCCATCTCCCATAGAACTCGTGGCCATCCACGAAAACTGAATGTTGCGAGAATCAGGAAGTACTTCTTCACACAGCACATAGCTAAATTATACAAATTGCTGCCACCAGAGGCAATTGCCCCCCAACCTCCAGTCTGGGTGGCCGTGTGTGTGTGGTGTCTTGTTTGTGTAACTGAGAATGAGGAATCTTGTACCTGTGTGAGAGTGGGATCAGTGGGATCGGCGGTGGTGGACACCCCCCCCCCAAAAAAAAGCTCAACAACTTTTTAGTTTGGAGAATATGGCAAGCCTATTTGCACCTACATTGCGCTGATCAATTTGAAAGTATAATATAATAAAGTGGCATGCCTATGCTTCAGCAGCCTTTGATTTTCACAGGTGCATATTTTAAGTTATACTATTGTAGGTTGAATATGTACTGAATAATTACCACCCACAAAATTCAAAAAATACTTTTATATATTCAAAGGCTGTTTGCTTTTTTTAAAGGATTTGACCAATCCTAAAGCTTCAATATTACCAAATAAATGTTTGGGATGAAGTGGCTAAAATACTGCGCCAACACACTGTTTCATAAAAACATGCATCTAAACAGATGCTGCAAATCCATTGTTCAAACGGATTAAAATGAGATAGCCTGGTGGAAATACATAGAATGGAGTAAAGCACTCATGCATTTTAATTTTAACTGGCAGAACATGATGTGAATTTCTGGGTGTCTTTGATTTAATTATTTTTGTTTAATGTCTTTTTTTAGGTAATAAAACCCAAAGAAAAAAAAAGCAGAGTTCCTTTAAAGTCTTTGTTGTGTGTTGGTGTTGTTTTTAAACACATCTGGGGGTAATCATATTTTCCAGATCTTCACAGAAAACAAAGCTGTTAGATGTTTGCCCATCCCAGAACAATCTGATCTCCCATATTAAATATTTACAAAAATGTCACAACAAATTTCTCTCACAGAAATTCTAATAAGGCAAAATGATCAATTTTCACTAAAAAACATTTTTTATAAAAATCTGTGTTTCAGCAACTAACAAACCAGCTCCTTTTGCAAATGATTCTCTGTATAATTCCATCAGTATGAAAACAACAACAACAACAACAACAACAACAACAACAACAACAACAACAACAAAGCTCTACAAGAAAGAGACTTTGCAGAAAGATTTTAGTGGGTGAAAAAAATGAACATCTTTAAAATACATTTTTCTCTGTTAAAAAAAAATTACAAGCTTCCATTGTTTTTAAGATCCAAAGAGACATGGGCATGAAAGCACATGCACCAGAGCTCTCAGGATGTCCCTTCCCAACTACAAGCTTCCTAAAGCTGTTTTTGTCATGACCCCAGAGTGCAGCAGCAACCAAGATTTGAAGCTGCAGAGTCTCTAGCTAAGGAGTCAGTCCATTTCCAGACCTCTAAGTCTGCTGAGCTGGTGAGAACCTAGATCAGGGGTCAGCAATCTTTTTCAGCTGTGGGCCAGTCCACTGTCCCTCAGACCATGTGGCGGGCTGGACTATATTTTGAAGGGGGAAAAATTAACGCATTCCTATGCCCCACAAATAACCCAGATATGCACTTTAAATAAAAGCACACATTCTACTCATGTGAAAACACACTGATTCCCGGACCGTCCGCGGGCCGGATTGAGAAGGCGATTGGGCCGGATCCGGCCCCTGGCCTTAAGTTGCCTACCCCTGACCTAGATCCTCACAGGAACCTTCTGTTGAGATTGAGGAACCATATGCCACCTTCAGGCTGTTGCAAGCCTAACAACACAGGAAATATGCCAGGCAGGGTCTCTAGAGGAGCCTGGGAGAGGTAGACTAGGGGCAGAAGTTGAAATAGGTTTAGTTTGCTCTCAACCTTCATGGAGTAAGTTGCCTGCTTGAAACTATATGTGGGCCTGAAACTCCTGACCTGCCTTATTTGTGGGATCTGGAAATAGCCCAGACTTTGTGAACTGCCTGTTAAGACTGTGAAAACATTCTGCCATTCTGTCACAAAAATGGGGATAGTCTCTCTTCCCCTCCGCCCCCTCAAAAAAAGTGTCAAAAGGTGAAAAAAATGTACTTTTTTTATTCCTTCATGAAAAATTATACAGCATCCTTCCATTGTAGAAACATTGCAGATTATTCCAACTGGAGTAATTGCTCCTAACACACTTCCAGTGTAGCCACTCTTCATTGGAATCAATAGCTTATTCTGTGTCTCCCAAAAGACAAAGAGACTCCTTAACTCAGGAGACAAAGAAGAAATTCTTCTTCTGATCAAGACTAGCTACACTGAAAACACATTAGGTGTAATGACTATAATTGGGAGTGCTTTTATGACAAACCTACAATTTTCTTCAGCACCTATTGAGCTTCTCCTCTTTGGTCTCTTTGTGGTGCTGTCCTCTTTCCTTTCCTCGTGCAAGAAATCTACCTTCTTTAAAAGGTAAAACACCGTCCTGTTAAGGACTACTGAGCTGCCCTGGTATCTGTGTTTAATTCAACATTAACAATAAGCTATTGACTTTTGGCTTTGTGGCTGTGTAACTATAACATGTTTCCAAAGTCAGAAAAGCAGTTGCATCTTCCCTTGGTTTCTGCATACCTATACAGACTGGTGGGTTGGGCTGCCAGAAGTACCGATTTTCTACCTGAATGCAGGTTATTCTTTCATCTCCTTGCAACTCATAGCCAGGGTCACACTGAAAAATGACGGTGTCTCCAGGTTCTCTCCCATCCCCATTTCGGGTTCCATTCATGGGGACTCCAGGATCACGGCATGCTGTGGCTACAGAACCTAGAAGGAAGGCAAAAATATCACTTTTTGATTCATAACAAGTTGCACTGTGCAGATGTTTTAAGAAAAGACTATTTAATGGCTCATGCAAGCCAATGAGATGTTTAGGCCTCTTTTCTTCGGGGAAATATATTGTCCACTAAAATGATTATTATATGCAATTATTTTTTTTATTTGCCATCTGTTTTGATTACTGACTTAGTCACATTTCATCAGACTTAATGTAGCATTTCAATGCATAGAATGTAATATGCCAGTAAAAGGGATCTGCTGAACTAGTTACACTAACGTGTGTGTTTTTGTTTTAAAAAAATATAAAAATCAAAGAAGGAACTGAAATAATTAAATTGATGACATTTTACTTCACCAGGTGTACCAAAAATTGCCACATGGTGGGTGAAGTGGTTTACCTCCCCCCCTTTCATATAGCTTGCAACAAACTCATAGAAAATTCATCATTTTAACAATGCCTGTTTTGAATTAATGTGTTTTATCCAACAAGTTGTCAGTGCAATGACTTCTGCTTGTGCAAAATAACCTTTTTCTCCTCTCCCCATGCCTTTCCCACTCTGCTAATATTTTCTGAGGGTTTCCCAAACCTTCTAGAGCACATTTAGGGAGGGCATAGAGTGTGTGCAGGGACAAGACAGCAAAGGAAGTTCCATTACCAATGTGAAAGTTTTTGTGCTAGTGGGATGAGTTTGTTGGAAATAACCCAATGGGATTAAGAGCCATGCATCCCAGCAGCAAAAGAGACTTAGTAGCATTCAGCAGTAACTTTGACATTTTACTCTGAGCCAAAGCTTATGATTAAAATATTCTGTAAGCATTCAAATACAAAGATTTCTGCTTCCCTTGGGGAAAAAAACTTGACAGATTAAATTGCATTATACATTTTCTTTTCATTGAATCAGCATGCTTGCACTTTTCACTTAGGACCTGTCAATACTGACCAAAAAAAGGATTTAGCCATCAGCCACTTGTTTACTTGTTTGTTTCCCAGGAAAAAGCCAGAGCTGGCAAAAGAAAAGGCAAAACAGTAACTCAAACTGAATATGAGATCACAAAAAAGAACTCAAACAAAGAATTAACTAAATTAGACTTTGGGCAAGATCACTTGACAGGCAGTTTGGAAAATATTCTTTTCATTGTATTCAGGAGACTAGCATCCTAAACTTAGTTCTTCCAAATACTGGTATTCATGGTCAGGCAAATGCTTGGGTGTTTACCCAGGCATTTGCCTGACCATGAATACCAGTATTTGGTACATTTGCAGTTGTCTGTGGAAACATTCCATAGTCTGAACCTACCCTCTGCAAAATGTGCCTACCTTGTGAAAATATCTCCTATGGAGATCAGGCAGACTCTAAATTTGGGATTTTTCAGTTGACAGCTGAAAATGTACAGTCATACCTCGGGTTGAATGCGCTTCGGGTTGAGCACGTTCGAGTTGCGCTCCGCGGCAACCCGGAAGTAACGGAGAGTGTTACTTCCAGGTTTCGCCACTTGCTCATGTGCAGACGCTCAAAATGACGTCACGTGCATGCACAGAAGTGGCAAAAAGTGACGCGCGCATGTGCAGACGTGCCATTGCTAGTTACGTTTCCTTCTAAATGCTAACGGGGCTCCGGAACGGATCCCGTTCATATCTAGAGGTACCACTGTACTTGTTTTCCTGGGCATTAATTCCCAGAGTTCCTGATTAATATGATTGGTATATTTATTTTATTGAACTGATTTTATTGTGACATTCTGGTGTTATTTGTTTATAAACTATTTTGCTATTTCTTTGCAAAATAAAGGTGGCATCTACATTATTTTAAATAAGAAAAGGTAACATAAGTTTGGTTTCTTCTGTGTCATTGAACAAATGATACAAGAGCAAAATGGCCTATAATCAAGAACACTTTCCATAAACACTTTTACCAAAAATTCTTTTACCAAGACAAAAGCCTTCTTTGTGGACTAGCCAAATATTATAGAGATCATACTGGTGCTAACTGAGCACATGGTGTTTCCAGGAGGACATGAGACTAATATTAAAAACTAACAGATTATTGACACTACTGTACACAAGACTTAGAACAATTGTCTTCCTTGTTCAGTTGCTCAAAGCTGGTTTTCTACTATATTTAACTACATTCCCCCTTCTTTCAAAATTACTGTTCTCCAACAAAATATTAGATCTTGCTTTAATCTTCCCTTTTCCTCATGTTTCATAGTTTGTGCATTGTATTGTTCTCATTCTCTCATATCTAGCCTTCATGAGTTCCTATTTTGTGTTCACTACCCTAAATTCATACTGGAATGTGGGTTGCATCCCACTGTTTCTATTAGTTTCTATTAGTTATCTAAAACACCTCTTTCATTGCTTTCCATGAAAATTGCTAGAGTATGCACAAATTTCAACAAAGATAAAGTCTCTTATAACCTTGCAATGAGACCTGCAATGCAGTCTTGAAAGAAAGCTGCAAAGCTCAGAATACCATACCATACAGATATGACAGATACCATATAATCCTCTCTTTCAGCCTCAACCCCCAAACATGTGTGGATCTTCGGCCACAGCATAGTGCATTGGGTGGCCATCCATGCCACACTGGTCCAGGCGGAGAACATCTGGGTCTGCAGCCAAAGATCTCCATTTCCTGGTTCGGACAACGTGGAATGCGGTGGGATGCCCTGCTCCCTCGGTTGCGTCACGAACTTGCGTTCCGCCACCCGCCAAACGCGGTTGTGCTCCACCTCGGCGAAAATGACTTGGTCGTGCGTAAAAGCATAATTCTGATCAAAACAGCGATCACAGACCTGGAAAGCGTACACGCCACTCACCCCAGTATCACGATTTTCTGGTCCGAACTTCTGCCACGCTTGCATTGGCGGGGCAACATCAAATCCACTAGACTTAATTACACTGTGGAAAAAATCAATAAGGCAGTGCGCTCTGCAACCACTCGCATGGGAGGTCGGGTCGTGAAACACCCCAACATTAAAGTTTACATGCAGGAGCTATTTCGGCCTGTCGGCATGCACCTATCGGACCTTGGTAACGAGCATTGGCTGAGCGACATCAGGCATGGCCTGATTGACTGGTTGGAGGATGGCAAAGGGGCTTTTCAGATGTAGGTAGTCTTGGCGGCGAGACCGCAATCTTTGCGGTCTCGGGTGGCGGTATCAGGCCTTGGGCGGAATCCTTTAGTCCATCTTCCTCTTTGCGGCGGCGATACCAGGGTTCCCCGTTAAAGGGGTTTCTGAAGGGAGGCTTTGACCGTACCCCTGTGGCGGCGGCGTAACGGGGGCGGCTATCTCTGCTTGAACATATGTTCTCCAGAGCCGGCCCATACCCCCCACACACACACTGGATAACCCTGATGCTCCCTAGGTCCCCGGCTGGGGACTGGGGAGGGAGAACGCCCAATGCCTGAGCCAAGGTCTACCCACATTTGAAATTTAATAAAGTTGCGGCCAATTTAATCCCATAGCACGTTGTCATGAGTCGTTATTCCACATGACGGGGGGACCGCGCGGGATCTGGGGACTCCACCTGTCCACGCAAAGCTCAGAAAATGCAACCCTTTATAAATGTGCATATGTGTGCCTGATATTGTATTGCATTATAACTTGTTATTGAAATACTTAACCTATCATTCAGCTAACTTTTTTGATGTATACTAGGGTGCCTATAAATTGACACAGAGCTTGTTATCTAAGCATGGTTATCTCAAAGATTATATTTCCTGCTCCCTGGCACTGAAGATCTCTGCTCTCTGAATTATGGAATGATTTCCATGAACAAACATGCTCTATTTTGAAATCTTTAAGATAATATTTTAGTTTCCTGTTAATTGTGTTGCTTCTCAGAGCAACTTGCTCAGTGGAAGCTGTCCTCGCTGTCTTCTGCTTTGTGCTCCTCTACAAGATTAGAAGATAGGAGTCCTATTGTGTCTCATGTCGAGATGAAGTGGCTAAAGTTCAAAGAACAGTATATGTGTGATTTCTCTTCAAGAGGCCAGCCCCGGAATCCTAGTTCTCTGGTTGTATTGCACAGATTATAGTCACAATGGAAACACTTCCCACTCAAAGAAGTTACCAAAATTAAGACAAATGCAAATAGTAAAGAGCCAATTGTAAATTTTGGAATGTAACCAGACTTTTCTGAATATCAGGCTCAACAACTTTTTGTGCCCGGATTTTTACCTCTTGAAATATAGCAACCCTATAAATGGACCATATCTCTTGGATTAATGTGTGGGTCAGAGGATGCTGGACTAGCTGGCCTTAAGGCCTGATCCATCATGATTCCATTTAGGTTCTTACTGGAGAAATAAGCTTTCAAGGGAAACTTGGTCCCTACAGAATCATCTGGTTTCACCTCGGGTAAAACCATGATTCCTGCCTTCTTATTTGAATACCCATAAGTGCTAACAAGACTAAGAATAAAAACATCAAGATTAAAATGGTGCACATCCAGCAGAATAAAGTAAAGTATTGTGGCAAGTTTAAAAATACACAATTCCTTTAAATTTAAAAGCTAAGCAAACTTGTCCTTTTCTTTTCCTAGTCTGTATCTAGTTTGCACTTCTCGTTTTGATTTGTTTACTTTCAGTCAGAATAACTGCAAAAGGTATTCAAAATGCTTTTCCACAGTGGAATTAATAATTCCCTGCATTTTCTGGGGTTGCCTCACCTAATACATCTTAGAAGCACATTTGCTTTCCTTGTAGCTATTTCACATTCATGATTCATCATCATTCTGTGATGAATAAATCCCCAGGTCCCTCTCTTCTACCATCTTCAAAATGTCTGTTTCAAGCAGACTGGCGGTGTTAGCTTCATATTAGTCTCCAAATGCATTTTTTCCTATACTTTATACTATCTAGTTTCATTCCTTTTCAATTACTGCATTCCGTGAAGTTATATAGTACAGCTGAATCTTTCTATCCTCTCTGTTTCACCAGTGCCTCCCAACTTTGTACCATTAGCTATTTTCGCGAATTCATTCCTTTATCCATTGCCAAGGTCATTAAATGGAAATATTAAATTAAATGTTTCCCAAGACTAATTTACAATCATTCCACTTGTAAATGTTCTGCAGTTTGCTTCAGCACCATTTCTTGCTCTCAGTGAATTTTTCATTTTATGATCCCCCTCCCCACCCATTTTAATATTTTCTAGCTACTGCGGTTAAAATCCTCAGCATGCTTGAGAGCTTATACTTGTACTGGTCCCAGTACCAATCTGGATGGAACAGCGGCAGGAATATGGGAGACCTGACTGGGTCAACACTGAATCCCTATTAAGCACCCATGCAGTTAGAATGGTTGAGAAGGAATCTAAATCAGCCCTCCAGTTCTTCTTACTAGTTTAACTTCTTCCTGAGCTCTGAAAAGCAGCAGCTCCAATTGGGTGGGAAATAATTTTTAAAAGTGATTTCAGGGGCAAAAGGGAGGGGAAATAATCTCCCTTATATCCACCCAGACTGCAATTTAACTCTCCCTTCCCTTATATTCTGAATAGCCCAGATTGGGGCACACTATCTCAAATCTCCTTTAATCCTCAAGGAAACTTCATTTTAGATAGGTAGGCCATAATATTTATCCGTCACTCTCCCCTTTCTCACACTCATACTCACAAACACAGATGCACACATCTGCCTCTCTAGTTCATGTAAAGCCACTTGCTTTCCAATTAAGTACAATGATAGAAACCCAGTTCAGTATACCGTATTTTTTGCTCTATAAGATGCACCAGACCACAAGACGCACCTAGTTTTTGGAGGAGGAAAACAAGAAAAAAAATATTCTGAATCTCAGAAGCCAGAACAGCAAGAGGGATCCCTCTTGCTGTTCTAGCTTCTTGGATAGCTGCACAGCCTGCATTCACTCCATAAGATGCACACACATTTCCCCTTACTTTTTAGGAGGGAAAAAGTGAGTCTCATAGAGCAAAAAATATGGTATATCTATCCATCTCCCTTGTTCACTTTGCACTATTAGCTAATGATGTACATCAGATCTGGATAAATCCTGAGCCAAAATGGGAGTGCCTCAGAGGGATTTGAGGCTTGTCAGAGGTCAAGCAAGACCTGCAAGGAGCAGCACAAGTCAAACTGGGGAGGGGGGAATCTGTATGCAATCATCTGTTAAAAGCCAAAGTAATGAATCTAATAAAGCCAAATGAGCAGAACCTCAGTCTTCAGAAGCAACATGTCACTGAACTCAAGCTGCTGCAAAAGTAACTTGGGTACTGCCCTGCTCATGGGTTT